GTCTTGAACTTCTGATCTCAGGTGGATCCACTCCTCTCGGTCTCCCAAAATGCTGGGATTACAGGCGTGAACCACCATATCCAGCATGCAAAACTTTTAACAATAGTCCAGGTATTATATTTCTTTTTTCACATGTGAGAAAAATATGGTTTAGAGAGATTCAGAACTTAGAGCGAAATTTACTTAGAATAGCATTTACCTAGATAGAAAGCAATGCAGATGATACTTGATTTCGACCCTGCTGAGTTTCAAAGCTATACTCTTAACTACTATAATGAGTTTTTATACTTTTGGTGCTGAACTATAAAATGTGTCATCAATACACATAATCCCAAGTAAAGAGTAAGGTTCAAATTAAATGCCCCACTGAGAATGAGTCCATTGTAATTATTTTATTAAACAAATAAAAATACTCATATTTAATTATTTGCATTGCAAGCATTCTCCTTGATAGGAAAGAAGAATGACTGAGACTTTAGCTCATATAAGAAGATTAATTAAGTGGTTTTATACAATCAGTTACCTACTGTCAGAGAGAATAAAGAAAGAATATACAATCACAATAACTCATTAACAATGGAATTGTGCTTTGCCATCCACCAGTTGTGTATTCTCAGCCAAAACCATTAAACTGTCTGTGCTTCAAAGCCTTCATCACCAAAATGAGACTAAGAAATCTGCCCTTGCAGAGATACAGTGATGATGTAATAAAACTGTGATACAAAATGTGCAGAAACTAGTACATAATAAATAAATGATTATTTATGAAACACATTGGTTATATTGGAAGTATAAATTCCTTGCAACAATGTTTATTGTAAATAGTATACATTCTCTAGTGGTATTGCAAAACAATAGGTTTTCATTTCTCTGAAATAATATAGGTCTGGTTTTCCTATCCAAGCTGGTAGATTTTATGAAAGTAGGCATCAATAATCACTTGAAGTCTTGTCACTTCCTACATCTAAGAAGTAGTATTAACAATTTATGGGACATAGATAAGGGCTCAGCACTGAACTTTGACTCCATGCATGTTATGCATGTCTAACCTTGGCTCCCACCATTCCAGTTTGTTGGCGCAAATACTGTCTACTTAAAATTTTCAAGGGTTCTTTTCACTAACCTCACCTATTTCCAGAAGCCCAGTGTTGTGGACTTTTTCCATTTATCTATCAGTATTTATTAAAAAACAGAACAGCTTGTAGAAAATAGAATTTTAGGGTAAAGATAATGTCTTAGTTAAAACAAGGTTTTGAATCTAGTAGAAACAGCATTTTCTGCCACTAAAGCTGTGCCACATACACATGTGTAAATAACCTGCAGATATATTGTACAAAAATTTACTGACTCTGTAGTTATTCTTTCAAAAGTATTTTAAGACCAAGGAAAACGTCATTTCCCAAATGACTCTAATAAGCAATACATGCTACTCTATTATTAAAAGGCAAGCAACTCACTGCTTTATTATTGTCAAGATTCTTCTTCACTGACATTTCCTAAGGATTCACTGTGTACTACAATGCATTGTATTGAGACAGCCAAATGCTAAGGCAGATAAAAAGGGATCCCCAGAGAATCTCCAACCTGCCCCACAAGTGTTTATATAAGATGCTTTTTGTGCATATGAGGGAACCTGCTCAGGGCTTGTCTGGACACACCCACAGCTGACTGGAGCACACTGAAGGAAGTGGGTGGAGCCATGGGGAATTCCTGCTTTATGCAGGGAAGGAGTCTACTCTCTTGAGCTCATGTGGTGACCTGGGAATCCCAACCTGTTAGCAGGACTCCATTTCACTTTCCTTAGTTTTATTTTCCTTTTCATCCAATAAAATCCTACTCTACTCACCCGTCAATGTGTCCCTGTGCCTAAATTTTCCTGGTTGTGTGACAAGATCCTGGTTTTAACTGAACTATGGGGCAAAATTCTGCAACAATATTATTTCATATTGATTAAAACTCCATGAAGTGTTGTTGAATGTATATGAAAACCACAGCTTACAATTTGCAAGTTACCTAAAGTTTTACAAGTAGTAAGAAGAGCAAATGGAATTAAGAGACACTGAAGTGTCTGCTCTTATACATTAGAAAACTATATTTGCATTTCAGTTGTGATCATTTGGGATTATAACCTGATCGGCTGCAACTGGATTTTCAGGTTCTTGGCCTCCCAAGCCCAAAGAATGGGAAAGGGAGCCTCCATGTCACAGTGGGTGTTACAGCTCAGATAGAACTCATGGACCCAAAGAGTGTCTGGTAGTCCAGTTTAGTAGGCAGAGTGAAAGGAAAGCTTCCACACCGTGGAAGGGGACTGGGAGGGGTGCCACTGCAGGCTCAGTGCTGGAGATTATACCCCTGAGTTATTCCCTCCCAATTGTTGTTCTTGTCCAATGGGAGGGATTTTTTTCAACCTTTGTCTGGCTTGATCTTTTGAGTCCTTTACCAGATTGGCTACCATTTTCAAACCCTGAGTCACAGAGCCTCCACCTCTAGGGTCCAGAGGCAGGAAAGCTTCCTTCCCTTAAACAAAGGCCCTGAGAGCCACAGGTGGGAAAACTGAAAACAAAAACCCCTAGCTGGCCAGAGGTGGGAAAAGTTCCTCTAACACCAGGATAGTATGTTCTTCCCTTGCAAATAACCATTATTAAATTCAATGTGTGAAGATTAGCAAACTAAAAAAGGCCTATTATACTGACAGAGGGATGAAATTACCAAGGTATTTATGGTTACTTTCACTTCATCAGATATGCAAAATAAAATATGGTTTTAGGAGGTCTGTATAATAACTTCTTTTGTACATTGACAAGTGTATGAATAAAAAGGTCTTCATTATGAAATGAGACCAGTTAACAGCAAGCAAATTTTTTAAAAATCTTAAATCGAATGAAGACCTTCTCATTTTGCTTCTATAAGGTAAAATACTTTCACGTTTGGCTCTGTTGACCTGAATTTCAATGGGAACCCAGGTATAATTGAGTGGGAACCCAGGTATAATTGTCTTATCTGATGGCTAATTCTGGCTTTATGTCATCATTCTTAATTTCCTGAACCTAATATATGCCGGTCCTCCATTCCACTTATCTTCAGCTTCAAAACAAAAGCAAATCTTATAATAATCGGTGTTTAATTGTTGTCTTCCCAGGGAAGATTTGCATTTTAAGCTTGTTAATTCTCATTTATAACATAAGACATTTAACTTGTTTTATTCTGGTACAAGATTTTTTGACATTACAAGGTAATAGGACATGTAATTTATGCAGTTAGCCGTTTAGGGAGACTAGTGCTATGGGCATAAAAAGGCACTGGTCCTTGTTCACTGGGAAGTTTAAGGGAGGAATAACCCTGATAAATTGTCTGGAGTCCTAGTCTTAGGAGCTGTGAACAGTGGTAGAACCCTGTCCATCCTAGATCCAGAGTGCAAATTGCACAGCCTAGGCATTTGTCTCTTCTTCCCTCCAACCTTCCTCTCTGACTCTTTCTCTTAACACAGCCATGTGTCTTTAAGTATTGAGAAGTCCAGATCCATAAATTTGTAAACCAAAAGCAAAATTCAAATTTCCTCCACCAGACAACCATTTAAGTGGACCCCCTCCTCCACCAGGGCACCCTAAAATGTAACCTGAAAAGCTGGTTCAGGCCATGTGGTGAAGTGGGGGTTGGACATGCCTTATTATATCCCTTCAGCATTAACATCAACACAGTCATTAAGTCTGATAAGAGATATTTACTATTATATCTAAAGCCTGCTACTTGGATGTTTCATCTGCATGATAAAATCTAGGCCCCCACAATCCCTTATTGTAACTTAGACATTTCTTTGTATAGATAATGACTCTTTCAACCAACTGACAATTACAATATATTTAAATCTACCTATGACCTGACCGCCCCACCCCCGCACTGCTGCTTTGAGTGGTTCTGCCTTTTCAGATTGAACCAATGTAAATCTTACATGTATTGATTGATATATGTTTCACTAAATAGTGCAAAAGCAAGCCCATCCACCACCACCACCAGCTTGGGCATATGTCACCAGGATCTCCTGAGGCTGTGTAAAGGGCACATCCTTAACCTTGGCAAAATAAACTTTCTAAATTGATTGCAACTTATCCCAGATACTTTTAGGTTTACAGATTATATTTTGTGATTCAACCAAAAGTATTTTTTAAAATTTTGTGACATTTTCATAATAGCCTATGGCTGATTTTTGTTTTGTCTATTTACAATTTGCTATGATCATTATAGTGAGTAAATATATCAACAGCATACCCTGTCCTACTAACGCTGCTGTTATTGCCTTCTAATCTACTAAGCAATGCTGCTTCTGAGAATAATCATTTTAAAAATCAAGTCATAACTTACTTTCTGAATGTATATATTAACATATGGCGAAAGTAAAATTACTATTTTTTGCTGAAGTGTCACTTGTTGCTTCATATTTATAGATGGACTAAAAATCAAATTATTACTTTTATAAATCATGAATGAAAAGTTTTATCCTCAAAGAGATCAGTCTAATAATACATAAAATGCAGGGTCATAGACTAAAAGTGAAAATTACATTGTGCGCTATGAGGTCACAGTGTAGTTCCCCAAAGCAGCTAATTTTTAGTTTTATTCTGAGACAACATAATTGATTTAATAAATTTGTTCAGTACTCATTTATTTCTGATACTTCTGAGTGTGATTTGTTTCAGAGAATTTAGATTACTATTCAGTTCAACAGTGGAAACATTTGCATAAAAAATGAAAAGCAAATATACCTAGACAAATCAAAAACAATAAAACTAATTTTACCCCTTAAAGCTCAGGAATAAACCCTAAATATATTTTCATAAATATATCTGTCTACTTCCGATCTAAAGATGAATAATCTTTTAGGTCTTAATTCCAATAACTCTCACATTGAATATATGCCACCTTCTTAGGGTGTTGTCCAAAGAAGCATCATTTATCAATTCATTATCTTCCTCATCAAAACCATGCCACTTTCCAATTCTTACCATTCAAGTCCTTTCAGATGATGCTACTGAGGCAGGAGAATAGGGCCTGGAGGCAGGAAACCTAAGGACATCCCTAGAACTGAATCAAACGGAAACACTTCAGCTATGACAGGAAATATTCTCTTCATTACATAGGGCATACACTGAGCAAATGACTTTGTGACTTCATTTCACCCTCTTTATTTACATGGGGCATGCACTAAGTATCCAATGAAAACCTCTAGAGGGTATTTAAACCTCAGAAAATTCTGTAAGTAGGACCTTAAGCCACTTGCTTGGGCCCACTTCCACCCATTGGAGTGTGCTTTCATTTCAATAAATCTCTGCTTTTGTTGAGGCATTCTTTCCTTGCTTTGTTTGTATGTTTTTTCCAATTATTCATTCAAAACTCCATGAAACTAAACACCCTCCACTGGTAACATATTTTGGCAAGCCAACTAGGAGATAAACCCAAAGTTTGAGATTTATTTTCTCTTCATTTTCTTTCTGTTCCTTACAGGAAAATCAATCTCTCTCTCTCTCTCTCTCTCTCTCTCTCTCTCTCTCTCTCTCTCTCTCTCTCTCTCTCTCTCTCTCTCTCTTTTTCTTTCCAACTCAGGACCCTTGGTGGGAGTGCACCAATTTTCACATGACTAAGTATAACTTCTAAACAAGCTGGTTATTAAATTATTGATAAAATATAAATAGAAATGCCTTCAGAATTATCAGCAGACATTTTTGTCTGGATTCTATATTTGTTTCTGCTAGATATTTTGAATTGTCAGGGTTTGGCATAGAAGATAATGAAACTATAAACCCAGCCAAAACAAAATAATATTGCTTTGCATGTTTTTTTTTAAACAAATGAGAGTAATTTTATATTAGCTAAATCTCCTGAGTTATTGGCAAAAATACCTGTGTATTTAACTTGAAGACTATTACTTAGGTTTAGGTGAGCACCTGATGTTGGCTGACTAGTAACAACATATGTTAACAAGAAAATAACTAACTTTAAATGACAGTGTCTAATATCTCAGTTCATAGAATTAGTCTAGAAAAACTGTTGAAAGTGAAAGAATTGAGTTCAATGAATAGGATAAATGTTTTCAGTAAGCTTTTCATATAAATTAAAATCTTTGGTATTTTTAATGCTCATTGAATATTTGGGTCATTTCCAATTAAGAAAGAGTTGTGATATGGGGAAATTTGTTGCTAAAATTGTGGAACTGTTCTCATATATAAATGCTCAAATCTGATAGTTCTTATATATAAATGCAGAAATCTGATAGTTCAGGATTTCTTGCTTTTTAGGGTTTCACTAAACTTACAGGTTACCAAGAATAAGAATTCTAGTTAACACATAATTCCATATATTCAGTGTCCCAGAAAGAGTTATTAGTGAGAAAAAGAATAATTTTGTTTAATTCAGAAGTTACCTAAAAGTTAGTTCAAATTACAGATTTGAAAAGGTTATTTATGAAATAATGTAATAACAAACCAGTAAGTAGGGGAGAAAGATGTGGAAAAAGTTCAGATAGTAAAATATTCTTTAATGCCTGATAGATAATTGGCTTCATTCTTTCCTTGTTTTGTTTGTGCATTTTGTCCAATTCTTTGTTCAAAATGCCAAGAACCTGGACACCCTTAACAAGTAACACTAGTATTACCCTAATGTACTTCATTATTTCACTATTAAGTGTAATAAACACTAGCCTCAAGTTCAGTACTCCCACTTCTTTGCATTTCACATCATCACAATCCTCAAACATTTATTTAAATAAGTTATCCTAGAATTGTTTCCCCACCTTTTATATCATAGTGGCCAAGTTCACTAGACCTTTTCCTTGGTAGGCTTCTCTTAGAATTCAATACCATTCCTAATATTCTCCATTGATACTTTTTCCCCTAACTTTCATTAAAATACTTTTCTTTCTTCTCTTGCTATCTCTTCCATTTCCTTAATGTCTACTGGTTTGATTTCCTCTAACTAGTCTCTGATTCATGAATATATATAGTATATATGCATATACATACACACACACACACACACACAGACATATATATATACATATGTACACATGATTTTTTTTCTTTTGAGCTGTGCAAGTACATGTCCAAGTTGATACTTAATGGACATTTGGATAAACCATAGACCACTCAATGTCAATATAGACAGTGTCACTACACATTCAAAATCTGTTCTTCTTTTTTGGCTATTCTTGTACAATAAGAAAGTTGAGAATTTCCCTCCAGCCATCCTTTCCCTCATTCTCACTTAACTGAGTTCTCTCAAGTCTAGATTTTCATTCTCTCTATATACAGTTATACTTTCAGTAACCCACAATCATGGCCTAAGTTTGGTTCCATTAACATTTCTGGCTTTCTACCTTTTCCTTCAGCCTCAAATATTACCACTTTCTTCCTGTTTTCAATACCTGCGAATGTTTTTCATACATGAATTTGATCTTGATTTTTAACACATCATTGTCTCTCCTATTCCTTCAAGGTAAAATTAAAATTAATTAACATACCCTTGCCAACTAAACTTCTCACCTCATACTTCCTGTGATGGCTAATATTGAGTGTCCACTTGATCAGATTGAAGAATGCAAAGTATTGCTTCTGGGTATGTCTGTGAGGGTGTTGCCAAAGGAGATTAACATTTGAGTTAATGGATGGAGAGAGGCAGACCCACCCTCAATCTGGATGGGCACCATCTAATCAGTTGCCAATATGGATAGAATAAAGAAGTCAGAAGATATTGGAAATAGCAGACTTCCTGAGTCTTCTAGCCTTTATCTTCCTTGCCCCATCCCTGTTGGATGCTTTCTGTCCTCCATCAGACGCCAAGTTCTTTAGCCTTGGGACTCTTGGCTTAAACCAGTGATTGTCCAGGAGCTTTCAGGCCTTCAGCAATAGACTAAAGCCTGCACTGTCAGATTCCCTGCTTTTGCGGTTTGGGGACTCCAACTAGCTTCCTTGTGCCTCAGCTTGCAGATGGCCTATTTTGTGACTTCACCTTGTGATTGTGAGTCAATACTCCTTAATAAACTGCCCTTCATATATACATCTATCCTATCAGTGCTGTCCCTCAAGAGAACTCTGACTGATAGAGATTTCAGTCCCAGGAGTGGCTTTTTCAGTCCCAGAATTTTAAGGATAAATTTCTTTAGTTGATTTGGGAGTTTCTGGAGTTGGCTGCTTAATATGATTAGACCCAAAAATGCTAAGGACTCTACTTCTAATAGTATGGAGAACACTCATAGTCCTTGGCATAAACTGTTTAGAGAGTTAGCCAAAATAAATGCATTTGATACTCCTGATTCACTACTCATTAGAGGCAAGAAGTTTAGTGACTCTGTACATAATATCATTTATCATATTTGAGAACCAAGAAATATAATGAAGTTGGTTGGTTATTCCTAAGTTTACTGGACAAAGTGATGAAAGAAAAGGAGCTGAGAGAGTCTAACTCCCAGCTCCAGAAGCACTTACTGAGCCTCAAGTCTTGTAAGATTGCCCTGAGTGAGAGTCTTATCTTCTGTAGATGAAGGGCTGAAATTGTAAAAAAAAAAAAAATCAGACACTAACTCTTATGACGAAAGTGGCTGACCTGCAATGAGAGGTACACATTCAGTCTTGCCAAGTGTCTACTGTTAAATTGGGGGCATTGATTGCAAAACAATGGCACTCTGCAACTTGGAATGGGGAAATAAAGGAGGACCCTGATGAAGCTGGGGACACTTAGTTTGTAAACTCTGATGAGACTTTTTTTTCCAGAGGAAACAGCTTCCTCAACCCCAGTCCTGTTAACATCCCCTCCCCCACCCATGCTGCCAACTGCCTTTCCACCTTTGCCTGAGGAAATTAACCATGCACTGCCTGAGGCCACAGTGATGGCCCACCCTGAGGAAGTTACCAGGAAAGACAATGCTGACTCTCCTCAGGAATCCCCAGCACCCCAGCACCTCTGTTTGCTTCCAGACCTATGACTAGACTCAAGTCCTGGCAGGACCCCAGAGTGTTATGCACAAGGAGATGTGCTACACTCTGAGAGAAGTCCTTGAGTCTTCAAATTTATGTAAGCAAAAATATGGAGAACAGGCATGGGAATGGATGTTAAGGGTGTGGGATAATGGTGGAAGGAACATAATGTTGAATTTATTGATATGGACCTGCATCTAATGTTGCAGTTCAGGGATTTAAAAAGGGTTCTAATACTTTATTTGCTTGATTTGCTGAAATATGAATCAAAAGATGGTCCACTGTGAGCAAGCTGAAAATGCCTGTTCTTCCTTGGTTTAGTATAGAGGAAGGGATCCAGAGGCTTAGGGAAATTTGAATGCAAGAGTAGATTAGTCACTTTAGACTTATTCATCTTAGCTGGAAGGGGCCAGAAGACAAACCCTTCACCAATATTTTGTGAAATAGATTTGTGAGGGGAGTATCTGCATCCTTGAAAGCTCTGTGATTGCTCTTCTTCCTATGTCAGATCTTACACTGGTAACCATAGTCACTCAACTACAAAATTTCAATGCATTGGGAAGAATTGAAACCCAAGGTGGCAGGGGCCAAGTGATAACACTCAACCATAAAAGGCAAGGTGGGTATAGTTACTTTAATGGATAACAGAGGCAAAACAGCAATCAGAATAGTCTGACTGTTGTGGAATTCCTGAGTTGGTTAATTAATCATGGTGTTCCTAGAATTGAAATTGATAATAAGCCTACTACATTCTTACATAATTTGCATAAGCAGAAAACTTCCAGGGTGAGTGGACAAAAGACTTATTTGAATTATAAAAATAGAGACTCACAGCTCCTCAATCAATTTTCAGACTTGAATCAGTTTATAGATTCAGAATGTCTTGAGTGAAGATGAGGCTGGGTCCCCTTGAGGGAAGACAGTACTACACTACTGAAAATTTATACTGTTAATGTTTCTCCCATTCTTCCCCAAGGACACCTCCAGCCTTTTACCAAAGTAGCTGTGCACTGAGGAAAGAGAAATAATCAGACATTTTGGGGACTATTGGACACTGACTCAGAACTGATATTGATTTCAGGAGACCCAAAAAGTCATTGTGTTCCTCCAGTTAAAGTAGGGGTTTAGGAAGCCAGGTAATTAATAGAGTTTAAGCTCAAGTCTGACTTACAGTGGGTCCACTGGTCCCTAAACTAATCCTGTGGTCATTTTCCCAGTGTCAGAATGCATAATTGGCATAGACATACTTAGCAGCTGGCATAATCCCCACATTGGCTCCCTGACTATTAGGGTGAGGGCTCTTATGCAGGAAACGCCAAATGGAAGCCAAGAGAGCTGTCTCTACCCAGAAAAATATTAAATCAAAAACAATGTTGCATTCCTGCAGGGATTGCAGGGATTAGTGCCACAATCAAGAAGTTGTAAGACACAGGGTGGTGATTCCCACCACATCTCCATTTAACTCTCCTATTTGGCCTGTGCAGAAGACAGATGTATCTTGGAGAATGACGGTATGTTATCTGAAGCTTAACCAAGTGGTGATTTCGATTTTAGCTGCTGTCGCAGATGTGGTTTTATTGCTTGAATGAATCAACACTTCTACTGGCATCTGGTATGCAGCCATTGATTTGGCAAATGTATTGTTTTCCATTCCTGCCCGCCAGAAGCAATTTGCCTTCATCTGGCAAGGCCTGCAATACACCTTCATTGTCCTAACTCAGGGCTATATCCACTCTCCAGCTTTGTGACATAATCTTGTTTGCAGAGCTCTTGATCATTTTTTGCTCTCACAAGAAATCACACTTGTCCATTACATTGATAACATTATGCTAGTTGGATCCAGTGAGCAAGATGTAGCAAACACACTGGACTTATTGGTAAAACATTTGAGTGTCAGGAAACGGAAAATAAATCTGACTAAAATGCAGGACCTCTTATCTCGGTAAAATTTCTAGGGTCCAGGGGTGTGGGTCCTATTGGGATATATTCTATCCCTTCTAAAGTAAAGCATAAGTTGTAACATTTGGCTCCTCTATAACCAAGAAAGAGGCACAATGCCTAGTGGGCCTATTTGAATTTTGGAGGCAAAATATTTCTCATTTGGGTCTGTTACTCTGGCCCATTTATTCAGTGACCCAAAGTGCTGCCAATTTTGAGTGTGGTCCAGAATAGAAAAAGGCTCTGCAACAGGTCCAGGCTGCTATGCAAGCTGCTCTGCCATTTGGGCTATATGACCCAGCAGATCCAATGGTACTCGAGGTGTCAGTGGCAGATAGGGATGCTGTTTGGAGCCTTCGACAGGCCCCCATAGATGAATCACAGTGGAGAGCTTTAGGATTTCGGAATAAGACTCTTGCCATCTTCTGCAGATAACTACTCTTTTTCAGAGAGACAGCTCAGCCTGCTACTCTCCTTTGGTAGAAGCTGAATATTTGCCTATGGGTCATCAAGTCACCATGCAACTAAAACTGCCTGTTATGAACTGAGTGCTTTCTGACCCATCTAGCCATAAAGTGGGTCATGCACAGCACCATTCTGTCATCAAATGGAAATGGTGTTTATGTGATCAGCCTTGAGCAGGTCCTGAAGACACAAGTAAGTTACATAAGGAAGTGGCTCAGATGCCTATGGTCTCCACTCCTGCCATCCTGCCTTTTCTCCCCCAGCCTGTACGAATGACCTCATGGAGAGTTCCCTATGATCAGTTGACAGAGAAAATAAGACAAGGGCCTGTTTTACAGCTGGTTCTGTACAATATACAGAAACCACCTGAAAGTGGACAGCTGCAGCACTACAGCCCCTTTCTAGGGCATCCCTGAAGCACAGTGTTAAAGGGAAATCTTCCCAGTGGGCAGAACTTTGAGCAGTGCACCTGGCTGTGCACTTTGCTTGGAAGGAGAAATGGCCAGACGTGCCATTATATACTAATTCATGGGCTGTAGCCAATGGCTTGGCTGGATGGTCAGGGGCTTAGAAGAAACATAATTGGAAAATTGAGACAAAGGAATGTGAGGAAGAGGATGGACCTCTCTGAGTTGTCAAAAACTATGAATATATTTGTTTCCCATGTGAATGGTCATCAACCAGTGACCTCCCCAGAGGAGGATTTTAATAATAAAGTGGATAGAACGACTCAGTCTGTGGACACTACTCAGTCTCTTTCCCCAGCCACCTCTGTCATCACTCAATGGGCCCAGGAACAAAGTGGCCATGGTGGCTGAGATGAACATTATGCATGGGCTCAGCAACATGGACTTCCACTCACCGAAAATTACCTGGCTGTGGCGACTGCTGAGTGCCCAATTTGCCAGCAGCAGATACCAACACTATGCTGTCAATATGGCATAATTTCCCAGGATGATCAGCCAGCTATTTGGTGGCAGGTTGATTATGTTGGAACTCTTCCATCATAGAAAGGACAGAGGTTTGTCCTCACTGGAATTAACACTTACTGCAGATATGGGTTTCCCTATCCTGCATGCAATACTACTGCAAAGATTTACCATCTGTGGACTCACAGAATGCCTTATCCACCATCATGGTATTCCTCATAGCATTGCCTCTGACTTACTTTACTACTAAAGAAGTGCAGCAATGGGCTCATACTTATAGAATACACTGGTCTTACCATGTTTTCCATCATCCTGAAGCAGCTGGATTGGTAGAACTGTGAAAGGCCTTCTGAAGTCACAATTACAATACCATTTAAGTAATGATACTTTGCAGGTCTGGGGCAAAGTTATCCAGGCTGTATAAGCTCTAAATTAGCATTCAGTAAATGATACTCTTTCTCCCATAGCCAGAATTCATGGGCTCAGGAATCAAAGGTGGAAGTAGAAGTGGCACCACTCACCATCACCCCTAATGACTCACTAGCAAAATGTTTGTTTTTTGTTTCCATGACACTACATTCTGTTGGCCCAGAGGTCTTAGTTCCAGAGGGAGGAATGCTGTCATCAAGAGACACAACAATGATTCCATTAAACTGGAAGTTAACATCATTTACACCTGGCCACTTTGGACTCATACCTCTAACTCAACAGGCTAAGAAGGGAGTTACAGCATTGGCTGAGCTATTGGACAGCCCTATCACAAATAAATCAGTCTACTACTCCACAATGGCGGTAAGGAAGAGCATGTGTGGAATACAGGAGATCCCTAAGGGTGTCTCTTAGTATTACCATGCTCTGTGATTAAGGTCAATGGAAAGCTACAAGAACCCAATCCAGGCAGGACCACAGATGGCCCAGACCCTTCAGGGTCACTCTACCAGGTAAAAAAACACTACCAGAAGTACTTGCTGAAGGCAAAAAAATACAGAATCAGTAGTAGAAGAAGGTAGTCATCAGTATCAGCTATGACCACATGACTAGTTGCAGAAATGAAGACTGTTATTGTCATGAGCATTTTCTCCTTATTTTGTTAACAATATGTTTGTGCATGTATACACTTGTATTAAGAACATATTTTCAGTTTACCTTTTTCCTTTATTATATGACATCATATTTATTATCAGCATTTCAGTGTTGTTAACTTTATGTGATAGCATTTAGGTTAAGGATTAGTGCACATACTAAATGTCTGGAATATGTCTGGTGTAATTCTGACCTTATTTTTGTCTTTATTTGAAGAATATGGATGACTTCAGGAGATGTGTATGGGTTCAAGTTGAAAAGCGGAGGACTCGTGATGGTTAATATTGAGGGTCAACTTGATCAGATTGAAGGATGCAAAGTACTGTTCCTGGGTGTGTCTGTGTGAGGGTGTTCCCAAAGCAGATTAACATTTGAGTTAGCAGACTGAAAGAAGTAGACTGACAATCAGTCTGGGTAGGCACCTTCTAATCAGTAGCCAGAATAGCTAGAATAAAGTAGGCATAAGAATTTGGAAAGAACAGACTGGCTGTCTTCTGCCTTCATCTTTCTCCTGTGCTGGATGTTTCCTGTGTTCAAACATTAAACTCCAAGTTCTTCAGCTTTAGATTCTTGGATTTACACCAGTCATTAGCCAGGGTATCTTGGCCTTCAGCCAGACTGAGGGCTGACCTTTCAGCTTCCTTACTTTTGAGGTTTTGGGACTCGGACTGGCTTCCTTGCTCCTCAGCTTGTAGATGGTCTATTGTGGGACTCTACCTTGTGATTGTGTGAGTGAATATTTCTTAACAAACTCCCCTGCATATGTACATCTATCCTATTAGTTCTCTCCCTCTAGAGAACCCTGCTTATAAACTTCCCAATAGAAAGTTTATTTTCCAGCACCCCCACCAAAAAAATGTCCTCTGTATTTTCTGATTGAATGTCCATTCCTCAGGAGTCTCTGCTTTTACACATTCTCTGCAGAAATATCTCTCTTTCTTTGACTAATTACTTTTTATGCTTTGGGCTTAGAAAAACCAATTACCAAATGTGGAAACCTAACTCTAATCTATAGTGCTAGACTGGTCCTCCTCCCTGCTCCCACAGCACACTGAACATGACCACTTTTACAGTATTTATTAGTCACTGTGCTATAAGTACTGATATTCTTATGAATATCCTCTGATAAATTTCTTTGGGACATAAAATATGTCCTATTCTTTCCATCCACTATGCCTAGTAACCTTGGCTAATCTGAAATATTCATGGAGAAAACAGTAACTTTGTTTATAAAAAAACAAATAGACATATCAAATGCATCATCAATTGATACATTAATATTAAGACCACAGTATTACTTATCACCCAGTATGGTAAAATGGAATTATTATGGACAAATAATCAGTCTCTGAAAGAGAAGTTTGAGGCCCCAAATATTTATGAGCAGAGCATCATTTGGCCTTTAGAGAGAGTATATTCTTTAGTATCCTCTTCAGATGAAACCAACAAGAATAATAGAAGAGAAAGGAATTTTTGGAAGGTAGAATCAAGGGCCATTGACAAGAATAGAGAGCTGCACCTGATCCAAAACTGTGGTCCTATGTGAGAAATATTTTCTATCTCCAAGGCCGAGATGCAATATAATACTCATTCAGTAGGATCTGAGAACCACCACTACAGGATTCTCTTTCTTCTGCTTTCTAAATGGTAGTGTCTTTCTCAAAGTCTGCTAGACTTTGTAATATGTAGAGACTAAAGATTTTGCAACATATTTTTCAAAAATTAACAGATATGCTAGACATACAAGGCCAAAATTCTGACCTTTCTTTCGCATTTCTTGACATAATGTAGGTTAAAATATGTAAAAAAATTCCCCCTACCTCACTCAATTTGCCCTTGACATGGCTCTCTGCCTGAAATGTTCTTCCCATAAATGTCCACATTATAAATCCTCTTACTGACTTGTAGTATGTACTCAGATGTAAATTAATTAGGGAACTCTTCCTCAGCCACTTGTATAAATTAGCGAGACACACAGAATACGACTTCACTTCCTATTCGATTACCATGGCTTATGCTTGGACTGAAGTACTTACCAGTATCTGATTTTTGTGTTTGTTTATATGTGTGTGACTACCCTAACTTTGCTGTAAGGGCCGTAAGATTCAGGACTTTGTTGTATTCACTGCTATTACTTCAGTGCCTAGAAGAGTGCTTGGCACAAAGTAGGAACTCGATGTTGAATAAATGATTGAATGAGTCATAAACATCAATTCCTTAATAAAAAGATATTTTTCCCCTTTCTTTTTGTAGCAGTCCAACTGATGCTTGAAACATATAAAGCATATCACATCATTTACCACTACACTTAGGCCACTTATATGTACAAATGTTTAATCCCTATTCACTATTTTTAATTCTATTTCCTCAAATTTCCAAGGTATTTTTTCTTGCTGTTGTTTTGTTTTTTGTTTTATCTCAGGGCCTTTTTATTTTCTGAAACACACTGGCAGATTTTCCCACAGTGGGCTTCTAATTGTAGTTTGAATCGCAAATGTATGAGCGTACATGTCATGGTCTCAGAGTTTCTTCCCTAAAGTATTCCACATATGCCTTCATACATGCAAGCACATGGGGACACACATGTGCAAACACACATGTACATTTCTGAGTCTCCAGGCTATGCTCATCATTGCATTTAAAAAAATATAAAATATTTTTACTTATTTGTTCCCTAGTTTCTGAATTGTTTTATTCACAAGCAATAGGCCATAAGCCCCATGAAAGCAGGAACCTTATTTATATAATTTGCCTTATCTATTTCATTTACCATCAAGTTCCCAGTGCCTAAAACAACATCTGATGTATCGAAGACAATTAATAATTACTGTATGAACAAATAAACCTTACATTCAGCCTAAATTTTAATGCATTAAGACATGTACCTCAAATAATATTATACATGAATATCGTTTAGTTGACAATAATCTGTGTTCCAGTTGTAGGTCTTTGCAAATCCTCTGGGCCTCAATATTAAGTGGACTAATTCATGGTGACCCTTTAATTTCTAAAGTTTTATAGTGCAACAGTCAATTCAATACCAAATGTCATTTCAATTATGTATATTGAAGTATTTGTTATACTTTAGTCAGTATTTAGGAAGTTCAATATTTCATGAACTTACTCTTTAAAGGAGAATAAAGTAATATCAGCATATCTTATATAGATATGGCTAAAAATTTGTTGTTACTGAGCAAAGCATTTAATCTTTAGTGTTGTCAGTAATATCCAAAAAATAAAGGAAAACTTTGAGACAATTGTACATTCTTATAGTAGTACAGAACAGATTAAAGAACATCAAGTTATTCCTATTTAAATAAACTGCAAATCTAGAAAACCTAGCTTCAGGTTTACCATCAGTTGGCTGAGTCAACCTTGATAAAAGATGACTGTGTTTCTAGAAAATTTGGGAAAGTAACTCAGACAAACCTGTAACAGTTCATGTTTTAGCCACGTTAGGCAAATGACATAGCCTTTTTAACTCTCCTCACATCATATCCAAGTGATCATAATATGTGTGTTGTGAGGGCCAGAAGTACATTTAAAATGCACAACATAACACACTATTTATAGTGTAGCAGGCGCTAAATAAACCCTATAGGCTGTTATCATAATATGTGTGTTGTGAGGGCCAGAAGTACGTTTAAAATGCACAACATAACACACTATTTGTAGTGTAGTAGGCGCTAAATAAACTCTATAGGCTGTTATTAACATATTGGGTCATGTAAGATGACGGAAAAAATTTTTTATTAATCTTTAATAGTATTGTTCTTTTCAAAACATACAATGGTGAGAATGAAAATGTATTTATATGTAAAGAAAATTATGTGGAAATTTTCTTAAAATGTTAGTAAAACGGGATCATACTAGTTGCTATTGACATATGTAAATATTTGACCTGTGCATGAAAATGTGTCCCACATCAAATGTAATTAGTAACTGTTGAAACAGAGATCTTTCAGATAAATGTCAGAAATGAATATATTAATATAACAACAACCACATAATTGTACCATTTATTTAGTGCCTGTAATTTCACTAGGAACTCTATGTCTAGTTCATTTGTGCTGATATTTAAAAATACTCAAAACTAGGTAATTTATAAAGAACAGAAACTTATCTCTGACAGATCTGAAGTCTGAAAAGTCCAAGTTCAAGCTGCCAGCATTTGGTGCCTGAAGAGGGTCTTTTTGCCATGTCCTCAACATGGCAGAGAAGGTGAACTTTGTGTCCTCACATGGCAGAAGGGCAAAAAGGACTCAGGTTAGTTTCCTTTAACCTTTTTATAAGGCACTAATCTGTTCATGATTTTGGAGCCCTCATGACTTAATTCCCCCAAAAGACCTCGCCTCTTAATAACATTACAATGGAGATTAAGTTTCAACATGAATTTTGGAGGGAACATCATTATTCAAACTTCCAATGAGGATTAATTACCTTGATTTTACAGATTAAGAACATGAGGGTTTCATTCTGTGACATATATAGCTTTCAAAATATAACCATAAAATTATAACTAAATCAAAATAGCTTGCAGAGATTTTTCTCTTATAAATATAAAAAGTGAATAGATAAATACCCTGAATCTATTTCACTAAAAACTCTATGTCTACTTTGTGAGATTTCATAGCTTATTTCAAATATAATCTATGAATCTTTTTTTTTTTTTTTTTTTTTTTTTTGAGACGGAGTTTTGCTCTTGTTACCCTGGCTGGAGTGCAATGGCGCGATCTCGGCTCACCGCAACCTCCGCCTCCTGGGTTCAGGCAATTCTCCTGCCTCAGCCTCCTGAGTAGCTGGGATTACAAGCACACACCACCGTGCCCAGCTAATTTTTTTGTAATTTTTAGTAGAGACGGGGTTTCACCATGTTGACCAGGATGGTCTCGATCTGCCGACCTCGTGATCCACCCGCCTGGGCCTCCCAAAGTGCTGGGATTACAGGCTTGAGCCACCGCGCCTGGCCAAAATCTATGAATCTTTCTATAGATTCAATAAAGTATCTAAAATGAAACTATTCAGTGAATTTTAGGTGAAGTGTTTCCGTGTTTGTTTTGCAAAGCAATTATAAACTGCATTTGTGTGTTTGCTTTGGCAGCACATATACTGAAATAGGAACAATACAGATAAGATTAGCATGGTCCCTGCGCAAAAATGACACGCAAATTCGTGAAGCAGTCCATATTTTTAAATCTCCTTAAGCTTATAAGCAAATTCAGCAAAGTCTCAGGATACAATATCAATGTGCAAAAATCATAAGCATTCATATAGTGATAATAAACAAACAGAGAGCCAAATCATGAGTGAATTCCTACTCACAATTGCTACAAAGAGAATAAAATACCTAGGAACAGAACTAACAAAGGATGTGAAGGACCTCTTCAAGGAGAACTACAAACCACTACTCCAGGAAATAAGAGAGGACATTCCATGCTGATGGTTAAGAAGAATCAATTTGTGAAAATGGCCATAATGCCCAAAGTAATTTGTAGATTCAATGCTATCCCCATCAAGCTATAGTTGACCTTCCTCACAGAACTGGGAAAAAGCACCTTAAACTACATATGGAACCAAAACGAGCCTGCATAGCAAAGACAATCCTTGGAAAAAATAATAAAGCTGGAGGCATCAGGCTACCTGACTTCAAACTGTACTACAAGACTACAGTAATCAAAACATCATGGTACTGGTACCAAAACAGAGATATAGACCAATGGAACAGAACATAGGCCTTGGAAGTAATGTCACACATCTACAACCATCTGATCTTTGACAAACATGAAAAAGAAAACAATAAATGGGGAAAGGATTCACTGTTGAATAAATGGTGTTAGGAAAACTGACTAGCCATATGCAGAAAGCTGAAACTGGACCCCTTCCTTATACCTTATACAAAAATTAACTCCAGATGGAATAAAGATTTAAACATAAGACCTAATACCATAAAACCTAGAAGAAAACTTAGGCAATACCATTCACAACATAAGCATAGACAAGGACATCATGACTTAAACACCAACAGCAATGGCAACAAAAGCCAAAATAGAAAGACAAGATCTAATTCAACTTAAGGGTTTTTGCACAGCAAAAGAAACTATCAATAGAGTGAACCAGCAACCAACAGAATGGGGCAAAAAAATTGCAGTCTACCCATCTGACAAAGGGCTGATATCCAGAATCTACAAAGAACTTAAACAAATTTACAGAAAAAAAAACCCATCCAAAAGTGGGAATATGAACAGACATTTGTCAAAAGAAGACATTTATGCAGCCAACAAACATATGAAAAAAATCTCATCATCACTGGTCATTAGAGAAATGCAAATCAAAACCACACTGAGATACCATCTCATGCCACTTACAATGGCAATCGTTAACAAATAAGGAGACAACGGATGCTGGAGAGGATGTGGAAAAATAGAAATGCTTTCACACATGGGAGCGTAAATTAGTTAAACCATTGTGGAAGACAGTGTGGTGATTCCTCAATGAGCTAGAAATAGAATTACCATTTCACCCAGCAATCCAATTACTAGGTATATACTCAAAGGATTATAAATCATTCTATTATAAAGACACATGCACATGTGTGTTCATTATGGCACTATTTACAATAGCAAAGGCTTGGAACCAACCCAAATGCCCATCAAAGATAGATTGGATAAAAAAATGTGGCACACATACAACATGAAATACTATGCAGCCATAAAAAAGAATGAGTCCATGTTCATGGCAGGGACATGGATGAAGCTGGAAACCATCATTCTCAGCAAACTAACACAAAAACAGAAAACCAAACATTGGATGTTCTCACTCATAAGTGGGTGTTGAACATTGAGAACACATAGACACAAGGAGGGGAACATCACACACCGGGGCCTTTTGGGGGGTGGGGGACTAAGCGAGGGATAGCAGGGGGTGGGGGAATTGAGGAGGGATAACATTAGGAGAAATATTTAATGTAGATGACAGGGGATGGATTCAGCAAACCACCATGGCATATGTACCTATGTAACAATCCTGCAGGAGCTGCACATGTACCCCAGAACTTAAAAATGTAATTAAAAAAATTGCATTTGTATGAATTGTGTTCTCTTTATTGCCTTGAGTTAATTTCAAGATGGTAATTTTTGGGGTTCATTGTCTTTCCCCTGATTCTCATTAAGCCATTCTGTTCTAAATCTCTGATTACAGTGCAACTTCTAACTACTCAAAGAAAAGAAAAAGATTAGATACTTGCTCTATTTAGAAATACAAGAACCACAAGAACTACATAAACTCTCAGTGCCTAGAGTAGGGAGATTTGAAAGACTATGACATTCATGAGAAACATATCAGAAAAACACATGTGTTAAGAGTTAGGCAAAAGTAAAAACAGATATTCTCATTCATGGAGATTACTAGGGCTTCTGTACAGGATATGTTACACTTGCAAGAGATGAATGTTACTAAAATAACCAAACTAAATGATGTGAATTTGCAAATGTAAGAGTGAAAATTTACACATATCCTTGAGTTTTAGGCCCTAGAATATAAAATCACACACATTTATAAGTTTATGGAAATCCACTATAACCAAAATTATTTTAGCAAATAATTTCACTAAATATATCTTAATGCTTCTCATATCACAGATTTCTAAAAGTAAAATAATGTAAACTACTTTTTTTTTTTTTCCTTTTTTTGAGACGGAGTTTCGCTCTTGTTACCCAGGCTGGAGTGCAATGACGCGATCTCGGCTCACTGCAACCTCCACCTCCTGGGTTCAGGCAATTCTCCTGCTTCAGCCTCCTGAGTAGCTGGGATTACTGGTACGAGCCACCATGCCCAGCTAAATTTTTGTATTTTTAGTAGAGATGGGGTTTCACCATGTTAACCAGGATGGTCTCGATCTCTTGACCTCGTGATTCACCCACCTCGGATTCCAAAGTGCTGGGATTACAGGCTTGAGCCACCACACCCGGCATAAACTATTGAGTAAATCTGTTTGTAATTCTACTTAAAATAAAATATATAGCAAATGGGCTCTTTGATAGGGCATTAATAGATATTATTTTACTTGAATTTCATAAATAATTAATTAGATGCAATATTCCTCAAGGCAGAACGTGCTTTTGTAGGTTTTATATTTTCTGTGACATCATATATGATCTAAACTGTAAATAGAGTTGAACCAAATGTTTTCCATTTAAAGCTGGCCACAGCAAATATTTCGGTTCCATCCCACAATATATAGACATGCTATGGGCAAGAGCACAACCAAACCTTATAAAAGAAGCACCTGTGGTTTTTAAATTAATCCCATTTACTGTAATTAGCCAGCTTTATTTTTCATAAGCCCACTTTTTTCATTGTTTTTTAAACCATCCCTGTGGTGGTCATAAACAGCATGCAGTTTTTATGGGGGAGGATTTTGTTTCTTAAAACCCCAGGTGAATTTAAGTCAAATCACCTAGGTCACTGCTAAAAGAAAAAAAAAGGGAAAAGAAATTGAGGGCTCTGGTTAACTCAGCTCTTGTTGTAGGCAATTCAATCTAAATAAAATTGACTGGAATTAGTGCAGTTCTGTCTTGTACAGTCCCAGTAAATACACCTTTCCCTGAGAGGTTAATTTCCAGTGTTGCTATTATTGATTGACAGCTTACATTTCTGCATGATTAACCCTTTAAAAATAACTTTGCATCTAAAAACTAAAGCATAATTTGAAATAAAATCTAAAGGAATTCCATAGAATATGTGTGGCTATTTAAACAAATTAGAAATATATTTAAGAATAGCCAGTGGTGTTTTAAATCAATGCAAAATAATTACAGGTTTGATACATATCAGATAACCTTTTTAGAATTATTTGAGCTTTTATTTTTTTCCAGGTGTACCAAAATTTTTCTCAGAAATGCTATAATGATTTAGATAAAAATATTTACATATAGTGCTTTGCTTTGCACTAGTCATAAAGAACCATTGGCTCTTTTGCATATCAGAGTAGGATTCTCAGATGTTTTATCACAGGTCTTTTTCCTTGAAAAGCAAAAAAGACATAACCAGAAATGACAGACACTTAAAAAATGTTTTCAGACTAATATACAGTAATTTCATTATTCGAATGAAAAGAATTTTAGTAAAAAAAATTCCTACTATTCTGGAAACTGGCAAACATCCCTATTTATAATAAATAGTTGATACAGGTAAGAAAAACTGTAAATACTATACTTGATTCTGTCAAATCTATTTGTTCTTTGAGGTTACTGTACAATGACTTTTAATAACAGCACTATGCTTCACAGGTGGCAAGAAAAATAGATATATGTGAATAATCTCATATAAGAATGTATTTAGGAATGAAAATTTTACCAAGAACACAAAAAATGATTAAACTCTTGATCAACATAATTTCAAATCTAAAAATTGATTAAATGGAAATACATAGAAACTATGACACAGTGTATAAAGTACACAAAGATATTGATTTTGCTGGTGTTAAATAAATCATAAATAAAGAAAAACAATCTAATTTCCCAGCTAAAGAAATAGATACACAAACTGTAGAGTATCTACTTAAAAAAGATATTTTCTGAAGCTACTAAGTATAATTTTGTTGCTCAGAAAATAGTTTGAGATTGGGAATAGAGTTGAAAATATAGGTACTGTGTAATACATCCATCCCAGCTGTATGATATGCCCCAGA